TTTGTTTTATAACCTGTCCAGTAAAATGAGTCCCTCTATCACTTGAAATTTCATTTGGGATTCCGGATAGTAGAAAAACACTTTCTAATCATTTCTTTGCTGCTGTGGTGGCATCAGCTTTCCAACATGGGAAAGCTTCTATTCCTCTAGAAATAGACATACCGTTACAAGTACATATTGATAGCCCATAAAGGAGACAGTTGAAAAAGTCTTATTTTAAATGTTCAAATGTTCCAGCTGGTGGGGAAGCAGCCACTGGAGTTACCTTAATGATTTTACCTAGGTTATCTGATTCATAAGTTTAACATTGATTATAAACCTGCCTTGCTAATTTAGAACAATCACTCCACTAATATTTTTTTCATAATTTGAGTCATTTTGTCAATTCCATAATAGGTAGTCACATGAAGTGCTTGTTAGAGTGGTAATTTGAGAAATTCAGGAAGCATCAGACAGCCATTTAGGGCTTCCCAAAGTCCTGTTTTTAATTAAATATGCATCTTTCTTGGGCGCTACTTTTGTGTCTTTCAGCATCAGATACAATTTCGTATCTATTATACAAACTGTCTTAAGTAATCTGATTTGACTCTACAGTGGACCATAGGTTGTGGAAACTGAGAAAAATGGCTATACAGAAAGTTTGGTTTCTGTTCCCTTGGCCATTTTATGGAGTCCATTTACATTACAAAGTGTTGGTACATAAGGAATTTCTTTGTAGAAAAGCCAGTCATTGCATTTCCCTGGTATTCAGGGTCTCATCAGTGGGTATGAGCCTCAATTTTTATGACAGCAACTTGTGAGGGCAGTGATAGTGCAGAGAGGTCAGTGACCTGAAGTTCATTTTTATAGATATACCACAAAGAAGAAAAATCTCTGTTCCCAGAGCATTCCAAAGTCATGGACTACTCTGAAGGCATACCTGCTAACAATGTAAACATTTGCAGTTTTTTTCTTTTGCCAATTCACAGGCTCAAGTGAGATCAAACTATTCTGCAGGTTGGGCTGAGTTAAACTAAGGAAGAGACTCCTCAATTCTAATAATTCATGTTGAGTAGTGACAGCACATCCAGTGTGATATTTTCCTTCAGAATTTTTGGCACAGGAGCCATCCGCAGAGAGTACTAAATCTGGATTGGCTAGTAGAATTTCTTGGTGATCTAATCTAGGAGTTAGATTTGGGGAGCCCAATTCAACGCAATTATGCATCTCTCTCCTTCGCTGGGTAAGGGTAGCAGGGTTTAAAGAGCTGCAGCAAAGAATGCTCAGATTAGGAGACAAGTAGAATCTCGTGAGATGTTAGTCTACTAAGAAATGGTGTGTATGCTCAGTGTTTAGCAAACTTTGTACAACATAAGGAACCTGTAAATTTAATTCACTTCCCTGAACAAGTTTCAAGGAGGATTCTGTAATTTTAGTGGCTGCCGCTACTGCCTTTAAACAATTGGGGTGTGCCCTGGCCGCTGGACCTGGAAGCTAGAATAGCTGTATGTCTGTGTTTAACTCCGTGTTTTTAAGGAAGTGCTCCCAAAGCCTGATTTTACATTCCTAAGCAAACAACATAAAAGGTTTAGTATAGCTGGGGAGTCCCAATGCAGGAGGATTTTTTAAAGCCCATTTAATTTCAGTAAAGTCTTCCTATTTTGTTTCCCAAGGAAGAGGTTCTTGAGTGTTATTTTTAGGCAGTTCATACATAGAGTGGAGAAGCTAACAAGAAAAAGTTAGGGACCCTGGCTTGGCAATATCCTGCTGGTGTGAGGAA